ATTATTAAAAACAAGTTTTTTGAATTTTTCATAGAACTTTAAAATTATTGATGTAAATAAACAATCTAATAAATAGGGTGTTAAATGTGTTTGTTGACAATTTTAAGAATATCCCAATCTTTTCAGTCCCCAATATAATTACCAATTGTGATCATACTTTTTTAAAGCATTAATGCCGAGAATGAAGGTAATTATAAATAAAAACCTCTTAAATAGAATAAAACACAACCAATAATCACATTTTTTCTCTCATCTGAAGGTTATCAGACCAGTCTAAAACTGATAAGACATGTTTAATATTAAAAACATTCATTAATAATCAGGTATATGTTTTAAAAAATAAAAAAAAAAACTCAAAAGAAAAAAAAACAACTCGTTGGGTAAAAGTAAATACTCATACAACAAAAAAAATCATATAAATAAATACATTTTTAAAATTTAAGAATTACATCTTTTCAAATGTTTATAAAAACCACACACAAATAAAACCTGCCTACATCATAGGTGAAATATAAAACTCAATTTTGTCTCTACCTACCCTGAAAAAAGTAAAACTTGGACCTTATTTCTTCTGATATGAACTTTGGAAATATAACAGAATTTCCTCCTTATCTGAGAAAGATTATTATAATAAAAAAAAAAGTCAATCAATAAAATTAATCAACCCAACGAATGTTGATTCTTTATATAATTTTTATCTTAAGTTAACATTATATGAAACTGTTATACATAAAAAGACTTTTCGAATAACACCAAAGATATTTCAGCAGTTTTTTGGAGAATTTAAACTAAGTGGAATCATGCAAGATTTTTCAGGAGAAACAAAATGGGATCAAAATATTTTCTGTTATTTCATTTTGTTTTTCTGAATTTTATGCAGATTGGGGGATATACATTGATGATACAGTGGTCAGAACCTATGTCTAAAGAAAATACACCTATAGTTTCATCCCATCAGAACAACTGTCATCTGTATTTCTGTCTTATTTGGAAGTTCATAAATTTATAGCCTTTCTGTTTCTCTCCTGAAATGTTTACTATTTATGTCAAAGTTTCCTCTTAAAACAATAGTATATGAAGTTGATCTCAGTCTTCTTTTGAATAATACCATTTCTGGACGTTTGTATGAGTTTCCCCCAGTGGCCTGTCTTCTGTAGCTCTTAAAATGCATGAATTTGTATTCTAGTAATATTCATTTTCTTTTTTTTTTTAATCATTTCACCTCAAGCAAGGCGGGAATGCCAGGGGTTACAGAGACAGGGTGTTAAAGAGGCGTGATAGAGGAAAGAAGAAAAGAAGGACAGGGGAAGGGATCAAGGGATTGGAGATGTCAATTGATGAATTTGAATTTTTTCAATATTAGAGCTAAGATGGCAAGTAATGGAAGGGAATTCTACAGGTGGAAGTGCGAGACAGAAACTGTTGGAGTTGAAGAGGTGGTTACATTTAACTTTTCGACACAGTAAACAGATGGGTCCTAAATGCCAGCCTTGTTGAATGCTTAAATTCATGTAGTCAGCAAACTTCCATATAAGTTACATAATAGTTCTTTTCTTAATGATAAAAATTGAAATTCTGCATTTTATTAATAAATAAACAGAACAATATTTTGACGACACGTCTTTGATATTAGCGACTAAAATATCTACAAATCAATTAAAATATAAAAAATCTATTTTTCATTTTTTGTTAATTCTTCTTTTGGCCGGGATGATAAACCATATATGTAAGATTGTCTATAAGGTTCTTGACAAAAAAATTTAAAGAATTTTTTCACAAATCAAAAAAAAAAAAAGGAAATCAATTTTTTTTTTAATAAGAATTTAGGATATATATTTTGTCTTCAATGAATATTTCCAAATATTTGGTATGAAAACAGATATGAAAAGTACTTTTCATAAAATCATCACATTCAACATGAACCAAAAGAAACATGTTAAAATGAATTTTTTTTTTAATTTGCACCAAGGTTCTGCAGATGTTGTTTTGATGCCAGACTCAGATGAAGTATAAAGAATAAAATTGGAATACTTGTTCTTGTAGTCTCTAAAGTACACCAAATGTTGAGGGTCAGTGATTCTACCAGTAGGACAATTATAGACATTATGTTTCATCTTATTAGATATAATAATATCGTCTTATTAAAAAAAAAAGTGGGCCACTAATTCCAGCATAAAAAGTTTGCTTACAGAAAAGTATCCACGTTGGTCACATTTGGATTTCTGTCCAACTGTCTATGGAATTCATTGATGTTTCTTATGAATATTGGATTTACATTGATGACAGCATTATCTGGTGGTATCTGCAAGGTAACTATAAATAGTTGCTGAATCATCAAAATTCTTATTGACAGAATCCAACAAAATAAAAAAAACAAAACAAGGGGTTCTATTGTTAATTAAAAACAATAACTGTTTCTTTTAGTTTTTGATCATGAAATAATCAAAAAAATCTGTTTATATAAAAAATATGGCCTTGGTGTAATGGTTATCAGTATGAAAGTGAAATTGGCAAGGTGAATTCAAGAACAGCCTTCCACCTTCATTACTTTTAAAAAAATGATGGGAAAATGAATGGCCACCCATTGCCCTCCCCAACTGGGAAGTTAAATAGCAGAGTAGAATGGCTATTAACCCGCTTTGGGTCAATAAAAAAGGAAAACACTGAATTTCAAAACAAAGAAGGCAACCTCTCAAGTTACTATCTATCCCTACTACTGTCTATGTCCTGAATAGACGTATATTTTAAAAAATGAAATACTAGATTTTTAAGTCTCATTAATCTGTCTATATTTCCTCAGGCATTGTAACTATTTATACTATTTACATTATATGGACTGTTATCCTCATCTTTATTGTCATATTCCCAAATTCTTCAGGTGATTGGAATTTACAACCCCTTTTACGAACTCTAACAGTGGATGACAATAAAGGGTTTGATTCCAATCATTTACCACTGAAGCATGCAATGGTCAAACTGTTATGATTATAATAACACTTGTCGTTACAACAGTATATTTGTTAAATATATATAAATAGGTTTTAAGCTTTCATTTATTATAGCTTGTCCAACATTTTCATAGCATTGATGGACCAAAAATGCTTGTCTTAATAATGATTTTAGATAATTAATCAAAAAATTATTAACATCAGTATTTTTTTGTTATATTTTTTAAGCAATTCGCCTCAAGCAAGGCGGGAGTGCCACTAGCACGCAAGGGGTTACAGAGAGTGAGAGTAAAAAGTAAAGAGGAGTGTTTGGGAAAAGGATAAAGAGAAGGACAGGGATCAAGGTCAAGGCATCAGAAGATGTCGATTGACATTACATTTGAATATTTGAAGATTATAGCTATCAGGGAAGCAAGTGATAGGAAGGGAGTTCCACTGACGGGAGGTGCGAGATAAGAAGCTGTTGGAGTAGAAGAGATGGCTACATTTAGCCGTTTCGACAGTGAAAGGGTGGGACCGAGATGCCAACCTAGTAGCACGCTTAAATTCATGCAATTTGGGAACCAGTGAAAGTAGCTCGTCGGAGCAGTTGCCATGAAAGTATTTGTAGAAAAGACAGAGGGAAGCCACAGCACGTCTGTGAGATAGCGACTGCAGATGGTAGGCCAGATCAGGACCAACCACGTTGCATATCTGTCTCTGGATTTTGTCGTGGAGATCGAGATGAACAGCGGGAGCACTAGAACATATATGGCAGCAGTATTCCATGCAAGGACGGATTTTTGATTTGTAGATTTGAAGGATGGATTCAGGCGAGAAAAAAAAACCTTCTAGCGCGACACAGAGAACCAACTTTCTTTGCGGTAGATGAAGCTATTGATTCAATGTAGTTGTTCCACTTCAGGTCAGTGGACAGCGTGAGACCAAGCAGGCGCAGTGAGACGCTCTCGTGGAGTTGGGCATTAGCCATCCTGATGGGAGGCAGGGAGGATTGTCTATGGTGGGTAACTGAGAGCAGTTTCGTTTTAGAGGCAATAAAGTTTACAAGCTGTTTCCTGTCCAGTCAACCACAGATCGGAGGTCCTTCTCGAGGCCTACGGCCAGGTTAGTTTTTATATTAGCGTGTATCCACATCCAATTTTAGAAACAGCTTTTAATCCAGCGTTAATGTATTTAAACATTGTTTAAATCGGTCAAAATGGGAAGCCTGGGTATATTTACATGCCTACAATTGAGTTACATTTTTGCCTTTACGACAAAATGGGTTTAATGATTTGCATTCCAAGAAATCTTGGTGTAATTTTTGGTGGTGAAAACGAGGGCAAAATAATGTTTAAAGTTAAAGCGGCCGTGGCATCTCGATGGAAGATGTTTATTTGTTGGCGCTGATGTATACAAACTTTCAAACCCTGTGCTTTGGTAATAAAGCCTGGGTTACGTAACAAGCAAACGCCTTGAATTGGTCAATATTCTATTAAGATCAACTCGCACGTAACAAACATATTCGTTCAGTATTTTTCGCTGTACAATCTTTTTTTTTTTTCGTTTCGTTATCTGCTTCCCTCTAATGCTTTTTACATTTCACCGAGCAAACATTCGCCAAGGAGTGCCCTTCTGAATGTTTGGGATCATGGTCCCCCTTAGTTAAAAGAAATTTGTTGCGAGAAAGTTTTGATAAAAACAAAAGCGACACTTTACTTAAAATCAGAAAGAGACAGTTGAAATTACATTGTCGCCAAATGAGGAAAGCGAACACGAAGAATTTGACACTCACATGTCATATTGAAGACAAGACAGATAGATAAAATAGAGATATAATAGATAGATAGATAGATAGGAGATAAATGATAGATAAAAAGCTACCTAAAATGCTTGTGTAAATGGATGGCAGAAAAAGGAGGAGAGGGATAGTAAAAACAATCAAACAAGGTGGGATAGGTATGAAGAAACAAAAACAGATATACGAACAAAAAACACATCTACACACATTGAGAAAAATTGCATATTTTCGGAATAATATCTAAATAAACTGTAATAGACTACGAATAATAATTAGTCACTAGAAAGCCGCTGTGGCAGGTCGAAGCGTCTATGGAATCTCGACAATTCATGGCATCTCGACGGCGGCTGTAGCATCTCGACGGCGGCTGTGACATGTCGACGGTGGCTGTAGCATCTCGACAGGCGGCTGTGGCATGTCGACGGCGTCTGTGACATCTCAAATTTATAAATATGAAATGTCGAAATTTCTGTTTTCTCAACGGCGGCTGTGAAATGTCGACGGCGGCTGTAGCATCTTTCATATCTGTGGCAAGTCGAATATTTAAAATGAGATATCGATACAATTCTGTTGCATCTCGACGGCGGTTGTGGCATCTCAACGGCGGCTATTAATGTCGACGGTGTTTTTGTGGCATGTCGACGGCGGCTGTAGCATCTCGACGGCGGCTGTGGCATGTCGCCGGAGGCTGTGACATTTCGACGGTGGCTGTGACATCTCGACGGCGTCTGAGACATCTCGGTGTCGGCTGTGACATCTCGACGACTTTGCGACATTTCGGAAGCTATTTATTTTTTTATATTTGGTTATGATGTATACAAACTTTCAAAATTTGTGATTTGGTAATAAAGCCTGGGTCACGTACCAAACAAACACCTTATTTGGTCAACATTCTATTAAGATCAACTCGCGTCTAACCAACATATTCGTTCTGTCTTTTGTCATAGGTTTTTTTTTTTTTTTCGTTATCTGCTTGTCTCTAGTGTTTTTATAGGAAGAAATCCCAAGTTGTACGTGGCTGAATAATAGTTTTAATAAATATAAAGTTGTTCAGAAAATAATTTTAGAATTATCTTTCATTCCTTAATTAATGTATTTAAACAGTGTTTAAATCAGTCAAAACAAGGACACTAAACATTTATATGTCTGCCATCAACTTACAATGTCATTCATGCCTTTACGAAAAAAATAACAAAAATATAAAAAATAAATAAATAAACTCTAAAGGTCTGGACGCCAAAAAATCTTTGATTGCAGTTTCTGCATCTTCTTTGCGATGGAATGTCTTTTGGCTTAAAATGATTGACAAGATGCTTGAAAACGTGCTATTCAGTGGGAGAGAGAGCAGAGGAATATAGTGTATGTAGCAAAGTCTCGTATCCTAAATCGGTGAGCTTCATCTATTGATCGGTGGACCTCATCTATTAACCAGTGCCGGTTGCATTTTGCTTAACTGAATGCGCATTTCACACAGACTTCGGCAGTGATGCTCTGGTTAGATTCCAGGAAGATGTAACGGACGACACCAATAGCAGACTACCATACAATCGCTATTATCTTCTGATAGTTCAATTTCCGTTTTGAAAAGTGTTTGGATGCTTCATCATGATCAAGTCATTCAACCAATCATTGTCATAACGGATCCATTTCTCATGACAAGTCAGTATCCAATCAAGAAATGGATCATTTGAATTTTTCAGATGCAGCAACGAACAATCCAAATCGTTTAACTTTCGGTGAGTTCACGTGGAACCTATTTACCGAGTTTTTTCACCTTGCCAGTTCTCTTGTAATAGAGATGAAATGCTGACACACATCATCTGAGATATTTCTCTGACACTTTCACGTGAGTTTTATTCGACTATTCTTTTCAGATGTTGATTGTCAGTTGCAGATAGACGTCCTCTATCACCATGATCTTCAAGACTCGTATCTGCACTGCGGAACTTCAGAAACCAGTGCCGTACTGTTCGACCACAAGGGGACACTTCACCTGATGCTATGTTAATGTTAGCAACAGTTTGAGAATGATAATGACCAAGACTGAACTTATGCAAAAAAAAAATAAATAAAATAAAATAAAATAGACGTCCCTCTTTTTTTCATGTTCATGATGAGGGCTATAGAAAGTTTTGAGTTAAATTCTGAAAGAGATTGATATAAAATTAACAATGAGGACATTTTAATCATTAGGCATAAGTAATGTTTTTGTGCAACTATTATAATATGTTAGAGCATAATTTAAAGGTTTATTCTAAAATTTCATATTTTCCAATATAAATAATATATTACAATTTTTTTCTTTTTGTTTATATAAAAATCAGACATTATTTTCCGAACAGACTAATATTACATTATTTAGATTGTTCGGACAGTTGTCCTCATCTTTATTGCAATATTCGCGATGTTTCGGCCGTTGTATGCTGTTATGGGGACCTACCTTCATGGACAAAATAGACTCGTCTTATGTCTAAATTACAGTTCAAGAGGACTGTAACATTTAAAAGTTGACTAAAGACTTATATAAGCCGTCAGAATTTTATACAACTTTATATATATTCGATTTTTTTATGATAATAATTTTTTCACTGAATAAATTCTGAGTTTGAGTTTTTCTTTCATAAACCTCTTCGGGTCCATAACATATTACCCCGGACTTCTTCAGGTGATTGCAATTTCGAACTGAACCTTTTATCTCGTTTGCATGGCCAAGTGTACGAAAAACGTTGCTTGGATCCTGTGACTTTACCCAAAGAGTTGTGAATTCAATACCTGGCTATGGCAGTGTTGAACAAAAACCTGGAATTTTAAAGGGAGATAACTGAGACATCTGGAAGAATCATGGAACGTAGAACTAGAACAATCTACCCCGGTGGATGAAATAAATGAATACATGGAATTTCGAACTAAACCCTTTTTTTTTCCCATTTGGTATAATTTTGAATGGTTTGAAAAAATAAATGTTTCACAATGAAATTTCAATCATCTGAAATAATATAATTTTCTAATGAAATGAAGAATATCATATATAAATAATGTAAATAACTATAATATCTCATCTCATCTTATTTTGTGAAAATTATGAAATGCTCTACATATATTTTTCCGACTGCGCCTGATCGAGTACTCCTGTAACTTACGTCTTAAATCTTCTGGGTTTCATTTCATGGGATAAGACAACATTCATCAAATGCTTAAAGCAATTTTAGGCAGCATAGACAAATATTGTTTTATTTCTTTCCTCTTCTTGAATTCTGCGAGCAACCACAGCGACCTCAGATACCCAGTATAAATAATTGTATAAAATCGCTAGAATCTCAGTACAATGGAGGTATTGTAATTATTTACATTAAGTTATGGATCCTCTTTTCTCTTTCATCTATCTGGGTAAATAGCAGGACAGACCAGGTTCTATAGTCTTGAATGGCAACTGATCTACAGCAGAAAGAAATGGCAACCATCTGCAAGAAAAATCTGCCTCGTCAGTCATGTATCGAAAGATAACATGATCGCCTAAGCGTGTATCACGCATGGTATATAACTGACTTAAGATGACTAGGATTTCCGGCCTTCTTCAGGTGATTGTAATTGTGAACTTATTTGCATCCACTATCAACTATCTACTTTATAAGAAAAAACACATATATATATATATATATATATATATATATATATATATATATATATATATATATGAAGAAATATAGTTTTTAAGGTGTGCTATATTTAAGGGATAAAGTGCTCAATATCAGAAATAGTAGCGTATGTAAATAAATAAAAAGTGAACACTGAAGTCAACACTCAGAGGCGATAGGCTGTTTCATGCTAGATGCAATCGTGAAGCCGCCAGACAATCCGTCAGTCTGTCGTCTCTGAGTGTTGACTTCAATATTAATTATTATATATATATATATATATATATATATATATATATATATATATATATATATATATATATACTAGCAGCGTAAAAATCATACAACTCATACAGCAAATTTTTATCACTTGACTTAAAAATATTTTTGCCCTTCCTTGCCTTTAAAAGGAGTACCTAATTTGCCGTGCTGATGAAATGTTTGAACATGCCTTACTTCTTGCCCTATCTCACACTGCGATTTTTTTTTTAAGCTCTATATACTAAACATTATATCTGTTACGAAAAAAGAACTAAACAAAATGAACACAAAACGATCAGCTTTAAAAAGGGACTCGTAATTGGAAAAACCGAATGAAAAAAGAATGTTAACAACAAATAAATTTTTCACACCCAACCCAGTTCTGCGGAATCAGAATCAACGTTGAGTTTAAGCAAGCGAATGAGCCAATTGGAGTAAAGTGCCATGCAGATTTAAATTTTTCCCACTTGTGACGAATGCAGCTATCGATTTTTTTGCATGCTAGCATGCTAGTTAACATTCGTGTCAGTCAGCTGTTGGCTCTCACGCTGGTCAATAGAATCTTCCTGCCTATTCGTGGCAGCCAGCTATTGACTCTCACTCTGGCCAGTAGAAAATGGCCGCAAACTACATGAAAACTGCTGTAGAAGCATGAAAAAATCGATTATTTTCACTATCGATGGGAGTTGGGAAATGCAAAGTCGGCCTTGGCCTTCCCGCTAACTTGGAGGATGTGCATGTAAATTTTGGTGCAGATCCGTCGAAAATTGTTGCCGTGCATTTGTTACACACACACACACACACACACACACACACACACACACACACACACACACACACACACACGCACCAATCCTGCCTTTTTTATAGATAGATGATAAATATATATATATATATATATATATATATATAGAAAGAGAGAGAGGAACGTGAAAATAACAATATGGAAAAAATTCTGAAAAGACAAAAAAAACGATGAAAAAGAGAAATGACAACGACATTCTACATATATATACGTATAAAATATATGCAGTCTCGAGCATACAACGCATTTCATAAAAATCCACACGTGGACACAAAAACATTTGGAAAAAGAAAAAATATCAACCTTACACCAATAGAAAGTGCATAAGATATTCTTTAGCTTAATATAGAAATAACGAAAACGAGAAAATAAGAAGTCATTACTGATATCTCCTTACGAGTGAACATAGTGATTGCTAAAAGACGTTTATTTACATTGATAATGAAACTCTGGAATCACTTTGCTATTTGACAAATTCTATATTTGTATTAATCCTAAAAGTTTTTAAAATTTTTTTAATTTAAGAAACGCTCATAAATATTCATAATATTAACTGAAAAATCTGGGTAAATTATGGAGGGTGCTAAGTGAGGTAATTTAATATCTAATAAACTATGGAGGGTCCTAAGTGCCGTAATTTAATGTCTAATAAAAGAAAGTGAATAAGTGAATTTTTTTAATTTAAGAAACGCTCATAAATAAGATATTAACTAAAAATCTGGGATTAAAATTATAAAGGGTGCTAAGTGAGGTAATTTAATATCTAATAAACTATGGAGGGTCCTAAGTGCCGTAATTTAATGTCTAATAAAAGAAAGTGAATAAGTGTTGTGTTGTTGAATTTGTTATTTTTTATTTTATGCAATTAATATTTAAATTATTTTAGGTTGGGATTAATTTATGAGTTATATATTCAAACCAGAGGCCCGTGCCGTCAAAATTGACGGAGCGAAATAAATATGTTATAAATAACTGTATAATATTGTATGTAATTTTCTTTCAATCCAAGTAAAGTTTTGTAATTTAAAATAGTTCG